CAAGTGGTGGCAGCGTCCGCGGAGCATGTGAGGTGTCAGGGGCGGTGGACATGGCCCTGTTGGCAGGCTAGGCCTAGGGGACCCTACACGCGCACGATTTAATCGTGCACTGGGCCTCTAGTCTATATATATAAAAGCCTAATGGAAATTGTCCCCACAGGACTTAGACCAGGAGACTGATCGCTTGCTATGACATGCACTGACCACCAGGGGCAGCACAGAATAAAGGGAGGCCCCAGCCAGGAGCCAGAAGGCCCTGATCGGCCTTGATCACCGGCCAGGCCTAGGGACCCTACCTGTGCATGAATTTCATGCACCGGGCCTCTTGTTAAAACATAATCCTTCAAGCACTTCATTTTCAGTTTTTTAATGTAACTTTCCAAATTGTTATTTATGTTCCTATCTCAGTAAATGGAATTTCACAGATAGTTTCCATAAATATATGGCACTGTATTTCTACCTTTCCTCTTTTCCATTAATGATATATTCTAGAGCTATTGTTAAATGAAAATGACCCCTGATTCATCTGTGTACTGTTTGTGGAAACACTGTCATCTGTCTTTCCTTTTCTACTTGTAACCTACTTTAGTCATTCATTAATGTTCAGTTTTCTCATCACCTTTTGTGGTTTGTGGTTGTAAACTAAAGCAAACTAAAGATTGCTAGAAGGAGATAGTTAACTAATCCTTAGTATATACATAAAATTAAGGCAAGCATAGAGAGGTAGCTTTCAGCAACATGTATGAACTTTGAAAAAATTCTGAAAGGCTTGCTGATTGGTGTCTGGTTAGATAAATGGTTTTACTTCAAATACTGATGGCATTTTGATCAATAAGCTTAAAATATGAAACATAGAATTAATACTCATGTAAGCATTTATTGAGCACCTGTTATATGTAATGTACAGAATGCCATTGAAAAAGTCATGGACTCTGCCCTGAGTGGTGGGAGACACATGTAAATAAGTAAGTCAAAAGCATTTGTGGGACTTTATTATGTTCCATACATGGTTATCTAATTTCATCATGGAAAATTGGAAAGTAAGGTTTAGTTGAACAGTTCTGCTTTTATCATTTATTCCATTAAAGAAGGAATATTGTTTCATAAGGGGATAAAATACTCTATGAAGTTAATGTGCTTGTGAGGTTTTGATTGAATTATTATATGTGTATTTTGCTGTTTGAAGCAGGGTTTAGATGAATCATTAACACATTATTTGCGGGTAGTTTTTATCGCGCGTTAACAGGTGGCGCGGGCCATTTTTGCTAATTTTTTGCGCAAATGGCAACGTTCAGTAAAATTACGATAACCTTAGTTTACGTATTTATACGTTACCCGCATTCTACCACTAGTCTATAAAAAATGTATTAATACCTGTCCCGCGCTCTACTACCAGTCAACGTAAAACGTATAAGTAAAACGTATAAATACGTTTCCCGTATACAATGTGTTAAAGTAATGAATGTAAAGGCATTTCTACTATAATACAACATGTGCATTCCTGAATAACCTCATGTGCTGGGTAAACATGGCTAAGGAGACCACTCCTTTAGTAGCTTTGTAACCAAGTGCTAACAATAAAATACTAACACACACTTCCTCCGTCCCTCCCTCCTCAATAAAAAATCCTATATAATAAAAGCCTAATATGCTAAGTGTCTGGTCATCCATTCAACCAATCAAAGCATAATATGCTAATGATATGCTAAGGCTGCTCAACCACTCACTATGATGTGCACTGATCACCAGGGGATAGTCAACCAGTTGCTATGACGTGCACTGACCACCAGGGGGGGCAGAAGCTCTAACCGGTAGGTTAGCTTGCTGCTGGGCTTCAGCTGATCGGGACTGAGCGAGAATGGCCGGACACACCCTGGAGCCCTCCTGCAGTCCCTCCCCAGCTGGCCAACCTCCTGCGTCTCTCCCCGGCCCCAATCGTGCACTGGTGGGGTTCCTCAGCCTGGCCTGTGCCCTCTCGCAATCCAGAACTCCTCGGGGGATGTTGAAGACCCAGTTTTTGCCCGATCCCGCAGGCCAGGCCGAGGGACCCCACTGATGCATGAATTCGTGCACTGGGCCTCTAGTAAAATACTAACACACATTACCTCTGGCATTTGTACCATAGTTGTTCACTTACTAGCCTTAAACTTCAGCTGTGCTTTCTATTTTGAGATACAGGTTCTTGAGGGCATCTGCTTCAGCAGAAACTAATTTTATAAAAAGTAATGAACCAGGGTATAGTCACCATTGTTAATTGCTATTTTGGGGGGAGAGGTGGTAGATAAGAGAAATTGTCTTTGCAACTTGTTCATTTGCACCTTGTTTCCACCAGATAACAATGTTGAAAAGCCTTGGAGTTCTTAAATCCACTGAAGATGCTGTTACTTTCTGTTAAGAGAGATATTTGTTGTTTTCACCTTTTTTCTAAGAGTTTTCATATTTTACTTAGACTTTCTCTTTTAATCTTAGAGAACTTGTTCCTGGTCCCTTTGTAGTATGTCAGAAAAAAATCCCTATGAACCAGTGATAATTCTGTGCTCTACTGACATCACTCCTTTACCAACTGCATATGAACTAATTTATGTTGGAGCAGCATCTTATACAGTGTATACCTTAGTAGTACATATAATTATAGTTCTTATTCCACTTTAACATATTTTTAGATTTTAAAAATACATGCTTTACCTTTGAAGATGCCATATATATTTGAACTTTCAAAACAGTTTGGAATTTCAGTCTCTAATATTGTGGACCATAATACATGTATACATAATACATAATATATGACTGAGAAGAGCGGCCTTACCTAATCCTGTTAGGACCCTGATCTTGGACTTTCAGCCTCCAGAACTGTAAGAGATAAGATTCTGTTGTTTATAATCACCCACCTTTCCCCTAATACATAATACGTGACCATAGTACTCATGGGCAGCATAACATTTAACTTGTTAATTTTTTTTACTGGTGATTGTATTTAAATTTTTGTATAATTGTTTTGTTTCTATTAAGCCAAGATGAAAATTATTTATACGAATTAGTTTTTTAAAGGAATGAAAATAATAATGTTATTTAGAAGACAGTGAAAACACCTTTTTTAAGAATGCATATGATAAACCTGATACTGAATTTTGATAGAGTAATTATAAACTAATGCAAACATTTTTAAGTTGTTTCATTTTTATTTTCTCCTTTGAGCATTGAAAGGTGAATTTTTTTAGCTGTGGCTTGTGGGTCTGTTTTTTCTTACTATTTTTTGTTAAAAAAAAAAAGCGAAGCTGTATTTTATTTGCTTGTACTTACAAAGAAAATCTCTGGAAGAATATTCAGGAAACTGGCAACATTGCTTCCAAGAAGGGGAATTGGATATCTAAAGGGTAGGATGGAAGGGGAGCTTTGAATTTTGAACCATGAACTATCTATACCAGTGGTTCTCAACCTTCCTAATGCTGCGACCCTTTAATACAGTTCCTCATGTTGTGGTGACCCCCAATTTCATTGTTACAAACTGAACATAATTAAAGCATAGTGATTAATCACAAAAACAATATGTAATTATATGTGTTTTCCGATGGTCTTAGGCGACCCCTGTGAAAGGGTCGTTCGACCCCCAAAGGGGTCGCGACCCACAGGTTGAGAACCGCTGATCTACACTAATAGAGGAATATGCAAATTGTCCAGGACACTGTCACAATAATGACTGAACATCAGGCTGTGTGGGGCGACCAGGTCGGCAGGGGCGGTTAGTGAGGAACGACCAAACGACTGAATAGCAGACTGTGTGGGGCGATCAGGCCAGTGGGGGCACATTTAGGGGCGATCAGGCAGGCAGGCAGGTGAGCAGTTAGGAGCCAGCAGTCTCAGATTGTGAGAGGGATGTCCTGGATTGGAGAGGGTGCAGGCTGGGCTGAGGGGGAACCCCCCTGCCCCCTGTGCACGAATTTCATGCACCAGGTCTCTAGTCCCATATAATAAAAGCCTAATATGCTAAATGTCCAGTTGTCCTGTCGGCCATTCAGCCAATCAAAGCGAAATATGCTAATGATATGCTAAGGCCGCTCAACCACTTGCTAGAACGTACACTGACCACCAGGGGGCAGACAGTCAACCAGTCGACCAGTCACTATAACGTGCACTGACCACCAGGGGATAGACACTTCGACCGGTAGGTTGGTTTTCTGCTGGGGTCTGGCCGAATTAGGACTGAGCAAGATGGGCCGGACACACCCTGGAGCCCTTCCGTGGTCCCTCCCGAGCTGGCCAACCTCTGCATCCCTCCCTGGCCCTGATCATGCACTGGTGGGGTCCCTCAGCCTGGCACAATCCAGGACCCCTCCACTGAGTGCATGAATTTTATGCACCGGTCCTCTAGTTAGAAACACAGTAGGTCCTCGGGTTATGTCAGAGATCCGTTTCTATAGTGCGACGTAATGCAATTTTCGCCGTAAGTCGGAACCCACCTACATAAGCACCTACGTCACTCACGTGGAGCACATACACAACAGTACTGAAGTGAAACAGTAAAAAAAATTTAAAAGAAAGATAATTCCTGACCATTATTTGTGGTAAATAAATAATAAAAAAACATATGTCGAAATGACAGAACTTTTTTATATATATAAATAAATAGGAAATGGCGACATAAACATGAAACAACGTACGTCAAGTCCAACGTAACCCAACTGTCTGTAAAGTGAATCTGCCTACATGTAGGAACCACCTGACTGCCATGATCAGCTTAGCGTTGTCAATCCTATTTAATGTCTTGGTGTACTCAGCATGTAGTTGGCTGTCTGTTATGGCAGGTGCAGAGAAGCAGAAGGGTAACCAAATAAAAATATTTATGATGTACTTTCTCTGTTAGAAGGAGCTAGTCAATAGTGTATGTCGTTCTTTTAATTAAATTGGAAATTAAACTATTGGTTAACTGCTGAATCTCCCTCCCCCCATAATTATCATAAAATCATTTTATGAATCATGCTATTATTTTTGTTTACTTTTAGTTGATGCTGATGAAATTAAAAGGCTAGGAAAGAGATTTAAGAAGCTTGATTTGGACAATTCTGGTTCTTTGAGTGTGGAAGAGTTCATGTCTCTGCCGGAGTTACAACAGAATCCTTTAGTACAGCGAGTAATAGATATATTCGACACAGATGGGAATGGAGAAGTAGACTTTAAAGGTAAGAAAATAGTTTTTAACACCACAAGTTAGAGTCTTAAAAGCTCTATGTACAAAAATGTTTGAAAACTTTTAGCTTTTCTTAAATGCCTTTATATTACTGGTACTTTTATAATAATACAGTATGTTAAAATCTCAAAATCTGTGGTATATGAACCTTAATGAACTAAAAATCATTTACATTTTGGTTCATAAAGGATCAAATTGTTTGCATAAGATAATTTAATGAGATTTAGTATTTTCTTTGTTTTTAGAAAATTAGTCTCACATGAGGGAAACTTATCACATGAGAAGCTGCATTTTTTTAAACCTTTTTTACAGAATGAGACTTATACCAAGTCAGCAGTAAAAAATAAACTGTAGTAATAAGCATATGGATATTATCATAAAATGATTAATTAATCTAGATTTCACAAAGACATTTGGCAGTGCTTTTGCTGATATTAACATGATGCATAATTTTATACTTGATTCTATACTTTAAAATAAATAAACATTTCATTTCACTGTATATAGTCTTTTTTAAAAAGCCCTTTTTAATAGTCATGTTAAAAGAAGAAAGAGTTAAATAGTTTGTGAATAAGTTTTTGAATGTTATGCTCTGTGGTACTCAGAGAAACTTCAGGTTCAAATTTTTAAAAAATTAGAAATTATTTGTTGAAGTTTCAAGTTTGGCATTTTCCATCTTAACCATTGCTAAGTAATATTTTCTTCTGCAGCAAGAATATATCCTTTTGTGGATATGTAAGTTTTTTGAATATGTATTGTTCTATATAAAAAGTTGAAACTTCAGATTTGTAAATGTTTTCTATTCTTATTCAGAATTCATTGAGGGAGTCTCTCAGTTCAGTGTCAAAGGCGATAAGGAGCAGAAGTTGAGGTGTAAGTATTTTTCTTCGCTAAGGTATTCTCTCTCTTATACCAGTACTACCCCATACTGCATTATAAACTCCTTTTAAAATAGTCTAAAAAATATCTTTTATTCTCAATCCTTAGTAGGTATAATAGAAATTTTACATTCTGGAGAAAATCCTTTAGGACAGTGGTTCTCAACCTTCTGGCCCTTTAAATACAGTTCCTCATGTTGTGACCCAACCATAAAATTATTTTCGTTGCTACTTCATAACTGTAATGTTGCTACTGTTATGAATCGTAATGTAAATATCTGATATGCAGGATGGTCTTAGGCGACCCCTGTGAAAAGGTTGTTTGACCGCCAAAGGGGTCGCGACCCTCAGGTTGAGAACCGCTGCTTTAGGACATTTACAACTAGTACTTTTTAACAGTGTGTTGTCACTTTTTAATTGGATAGAAGGAAAATAGAATTCCCTTCTATTGAAAATAACCATATAAATGACATATCTTGAATAAGAGATTTTTTTAAATGAAAGTGTGTGTGAGTAGGTTAATTTAGTTTACACATACTGTTTTTGGCAATATTTAGCCAGAAGTCCACTATTTTGGTTTATGTAGTCAGCCTCTATTATAGTGAACTTCCAATACCTTTTTAAATTACTCAACTCTTAACTAGGGAGACGGTTTATTCAATAACATTTCTCTGAAGCACAGGACATATGCAGGCATCCTTTGTAAATGAACTCTTGATTCATTTTTACAGAATGAGACTTACAGTAAGAGCAAGTGCTATCTTTTGTTGAGCTTTTACTATGTATCAGACACTTTTAAGCAGTTTACATGTGTTATTTCATTCAGTACTCTGAAGAACCTAGGAAGTAGGAATGCTTATTGGTAAGGTTAAATAAGTTACCCTAGACCAGTGGTCAGCAAACCGTGGCTCCCGAGCCACATGCGGCTCTTTGGCCCCTTGAGTGTGGCTCTTCCACAAAATACCACATGCAGGCGCGCACGTACAGTGCGATTGAAACTTAGTGGCCCATGCGCAGAAGTCGGTTTTCGGCCTGGGCGAGTCTATTTTGAAGAAGTGGCGTTAGAAGAAGTGGGGGTGTCAGTCAGGAGACGCGGCGCAGGCGGGCCACGGGATACGCAGCGCGGGGGAGGCACGTGCGATTCAAGCACGAGTTGAGTGAGCCAGTCAGTCAGCAGTCTCATTGTGCAGTGGTTAGTGCTAGTCGCGTCCACAAATTGCACGTGGGTGACAAAAGTACCTACTCGAAGAATAAAGTTACCTATATTTTTCCAACCAGCTGCAAAACCTACAGGTATTTTTGTCATCATTTTAAGAATTGTAATTATTTTGTGTTGGTGGCTTTATTATTATAAAATGAACCATTTTTTTAGGTCCCCTGTTTGACATGGCTACAAAGAAGAAGCAAACTACCTATATAGTTTAAGTTTAAAAAATTTAGCTCTCAAAAGATATTCCAATCATTGTACTGTTGATATTTGGCTCTGTTGACTAATGAGTTTGCCGACCACTGCCCTAGGCTATACTAATTGGCCCAAGCACCCTTGATTCCATTGCCAACACTCTTAACCAGTTTGTTAAACTGCACTGAAGGGCAACATCTGTGTGTAGAAAGGAGCCGTCCTCATAGTTACAATTCTAGATATTTGGCAACTTAACAGGTTTTTTTTTCATTGAAAATATTCCCTTACGATTGCCTTATACTTGTCATTGATTTTTTTCCTCACTCTTTTTTTAGTTGCTTTCCGTATCTATGACATGGATAAAGATGGCTATATTTCCAATGGGGAACTCTTCCAGGTGCTGAAGATGATGGTGGGGAACAATCTGAAAGATACGCAGTTACAGCAAATTGTAGACAAAACCATAATAAATGCAGATAAGGATGGAGATGGAAGAATATCCTTTGAAGAATTCTGTGCTGTAAGTACACAAGATCTGATTCTTCTTTAGTTTTGAAAACACTTAAAAAACCCTTAATAGAGAATTCCTTGTAGTTATTTTGCCTAATTGCCCCCATTCAAAGTTTTGAAGTGTTTTTTGTTGTAGTTGTTAGTGAATAACAATGTATTCTCAAGAATTAATACGGGGATGGGTAAAAGTAGGTTTACAGTTGTATGGAAAATAATAAACAAATAATAATACAAGAATAAACTCTGTGTTTTATGTAGTCACAGCTGTAAACTTAACTTTTGGCCACCCCAGTATTCTCAATGATTGATAACATACCATAAGACAGGTACTAGTAACTTTTTCTAATTGTTGGTAGCTCCTCAAATTACAATTTATGTTTTTTTGAGGTTCATTTAAAAACAAACCTGCTTCAAAATCCATTTTTTGGGAAATACGTGTTCGTGACTTTCAGCTAGAATCCAGATGCTTGATTTCATGAGGGCAACAGAGATGGAGTCCCTGTCCATCTTAAACTCACCAATTAGGCAATGTAAAAGGTGATTCCCTGCCCCTTCCATTTCCACACTATTTAATGGGTAGTTCTTATGTTTAGGGGCAAGGGCTCTACAGAGGTGAGGACTACAGTTAGGGGAGCCCTAGAAAACTAAGTCTAGGTTGAGATGGGCAACAGTTCAGCTTCCAACTTACTGCTTTTCTTCAGTAGATCCTGAGATTTGCCACCACTCATTGCTTCTGAGTAGGCTTCTCTTCTCTACTTCTAATGCAAAGATGTTAGCTTTTTTGTTATAACTGCAAGCTAGAGATAATAGTGAATCCAGAAGAATGACAAGGGCAAAAAAGTTTGAAGTTTTTCAGAGAGACTGGATGCTTTTATAGGAAGGCATTTCTTCTCCCTTTCTTTTCATTTTTTATTTAGACCACACAAGGAAAAATAAGTAACTTTGGTTGTATTTTATGTAAGGACTGAAGTAGCTATTTGTCTTTAAGTAGAGGTTCACACTATCCTTTGCCATCTCAAGAGAATACTATCTTTGCATTTCATTTCAAAAAGTAGGGTAGTGCTCTAATTAAAGAACAGGCTGGGTCTTTTTGGAAGAGTGTTAGACTTGAGATTTTGAACTCTTGCCAGGTGGTACTGCTACAGGTGTTTGCTATCCCTTCACCATTGCCAAAGATCACCGTGGATTGGCCTCTGATTGAGTAGAACATGAAATCAGGTTGGTAGTGGCATCATAGAGAGCAGCCTGACCTATGACCTAAGAGGTCCCCAATTCCATTCCGTCAGAGTACATGCCCAGGTGCGGGCTTGATCCCCCAGGAACGGGTGTGCAGGAGGCTGCCAATCAATGTTTTCTCTCTATTGATGTTTCTCTCTTTCCCTTCCTCTCACTCTAAAATCAATAAAAACCTTTTTAAAAAATGTAATTTAAATTACATATAAGTTACCTGTGGTGGAAGGAAATTATAGTTTTAGTTATAGAAATACTATTTACACTGAAGACATAGCTAAGCTTTGAGTTCATTTTCCAGTATTTTTGATAAATTGCTTTTATTTGTGTTTTTGAGGGGTAGAGGTCAGGAATGGAGAAAAATGTTTATTTTGTGTTTTAAAACAACCTTTCTGAACATTGATCAAACCCATAATTTTGGCTTCATTGAGTAATCTTTGTATTCTGATTTCTCAAGCAATGACAGTAAAAGATGTGAGAAAAGCTATTTTAAAAGACTATATACACTGTATGTATCTACTTTAAAATTTTCAGAATACTTAATATATACAAATAAAATTTGTAAATAATTAGTGACAAGATTAAAGTTGGTGGATTTAACATCTGTTTTCAATGATGTTTCCTCTCAAAACTCCAATGAAATTAAATGAATTAAGAAGAAAAGGTTATGAATTCCCAGGGACAAAGTGAACAGCAGAGAGGATAGCAACTAGATTTGGCAACTTATAAGTGAGTAAACTGATTTAGCAGACAGGAGAAAGTATGAATTCTAAGCTGTCAGCTTGGAAAGCTGAGAAGCAACCTGGTATATAATGCAGACAGGGCCAGAAATTGGTGTCACAAGATGACTGTAAGTAGGGGTAAAGGTGAGGTTCAAAACAGGAAAACTGCGTAAAGTTTAAGAAGAAATTAGAACACTAGATCTGCTTCCCTACTCTGTTCAGACTCTCGTGCCCTTTAAGTGGGAGATTGGAGAGGGTGAAATAGAGTCTCTAGGCAGGGAAACACAAGACATAGATGAGGGTTTTTTTCTGGGTTTGTGTGTTGAGGTGGTAGGTGAAGATAAGCATATTTGCATTTTGACAACTCCAGCCTTCTTCCTGACCAGGCTCCCTGCCAACTAGACATATTCTCCAGTCAAGAGAAGAAAAATTCTCTTTGAGAAATCTGATCTTCCCAAAGCAGATCACTCAGTGTACCCATAATCAACAGCCCCACCATGTACATGAAGTTCCAGTGTCCTTTCTACAGAAGCAGAGAGCCAAGGGTCACCAGACATGAGAGGAAAACTTCTACTATGAAATATAAAGATGAAGCCAAGCCCCAAAATGAAGCTTGGAAAAACTTTTTTTATGAAAATCTGTCATTATCCTCAGGGACATGATATATTGAATCATTGAAACAAAAACTGCATAATATTTACAAGAGCTCTTGAAAATTTAAATTTAGAGATTCATTTAAAGAAATTTAACACCTAATTGCCAGGTGTTCCAGAAAGAAAATGGAGGGAAGGAACTCATTAAAAATGAATCAAGGATAATGAATCAAAAGTAATGAGTTTCCTGACTGAAAGGACTCACTAAAAAGTACATAGCATAGTATACAAAAATAATCTGGACCTAGGCACATTGTCATGAATTTTTAAAACAATGGATACAGAAAAGTGGTTCTACAAATTTCCAAAGAGCTAGGGTACTGGGGTGCTGGGGTGGGGGAGGAGCTTGGTACAAAGACTCAAGAATCATAGTGCCAATTTCTCAGTAGCAAATTAGAAACTAGAAGACAATGGAGCATTGCCTTCACAATTCTGGGGAATAGTTATTTCCAAACTATAATTATCTACAAACTCAAACTACATGGAAGAATAAAGACATTTTCAGGTGTGGAAGGCCTCTCTTTTTGGCAAACTACTGGAGGATGTGCTCCCAGTGAAGTAAAGTTGTAAATCAAAAAAGAAATAATGTGGGGTCCAGGAAACATAGGGTCCAACATGAGAAAGAAGGAAATCTCTAGGATGGTGAAGGGAGATTCAGAGATGGCGGGCCTGGATTGCAGCAGGTTGGAAAGTTTTGGGAGTGACCTAATGACAATAAAATTGATAGAATTACGTAATATAGTTGAATGTATTTAGAACAAAAAGTTTGAGATTGAGTTAATGATAAATGCATAGAAAACGCAACAAAGGAAAAGAGCAGATAATTACTAACTGTAGCAAAACAAATGTTGGGGGGGATTACAGTATGCCCTTCGGTTGTAAATAGTATTACATAGTGATAATTAAAATGAGTTTCTGTCTAATCAAAATAAGGAGGTGTAAAAAAAAATAAGAAAAAAAGGAGGTGGGAAATATTATATGGGGTAGGAGGTAGACGGGAGTGGTTTGTGAGAAAGAGCTAAATCTTCTGTGCTAGGAAGTCAATGAATAATGCTTATAACTTCAAATACAATAAAAGACAATGTAGGAATGTTTACATAGCAGAAATTGTAGAACTAATTGATTTTAACATTTATTCAGGTAAACATTTTTTAATCAGTAAGTTTAAGTTAAAAATTAATACAGATGTCACTATAAATGGCAACATGAATTAATCTCACAAACATAATGTTGAGTGAAACAAGCCAGCCAAGAAAGAGATTTGATTTGTAAAAGTATAAATACTTCTTATAAATAGTATACTTTTTTTAAAGTAATGTATAAAAGACCCAACTAAAACATGGTGGTAAAGGCATGAGAGTGGCTAGCTACCTCTCTGGTGGGGCAGGAGGAGGGAGATGGCTGGTGCAGGACGGGGGTTGATTCTCAGCGTAGTGATCTGGATGCTGGTTACTTGGGTGTTTACTCTGGGAAAAGTCATCCAACTATGAACATTTATGACAACGCACTTTCTTTATGTAGGGTATACTTAATAAAGTTTATTCCCCAAATAATCAGATAATTACATGATTAGATTTCCGTGTTAGTATTAACTGAGATGTCTATAAGAATTTCATGTATATTTGATTCCACGGTAAAATAATGTGCAGAAAACCTTACTTGGTACTTTTTAATTTTTCTAAAATAGACTGAGAGTGAAGCCCATATTTGGTTTTCGAGCACAACTTTTATGGTAACATTTACTCTTAAACTACTAAGGGTAGATAGGGGTCAGCAAACTACAGAGTGGACCAAATCCTGCCTGTGACCTACTGTGTGCATCTTTGAGCTAAAAATGTTTTTGTTTTGCTTTGTTTTGGGGTTTTTCTTTTGCACTTTTAAGGGAAAAGAGAAAATGCAAGAGAAACTATATATGGTCTACAAAATTCTATCAATTTTATTTTACTTACCTGGCCCTTTACGGAGTAAGTTTGCCCACACTCCTGAAAGAAAGAAGCCATGAAAATTCTAACTAGAGGCAATGTAACTTCAACAAAAGAAAAAACACAGCTTCTGAAAATGGTTAAAATAGTATGTTTTTATATTATAGTTTTAATAAAGTGCTTAGACTAGTAAAAAGGAATTTCTCCAACATGGCTAAGCTTGATTTGTTCCATTGCAGGTTGTAGGTGGCCTAGATATCCACAAAAAGATGGTGGTAGATGTGTGACTCTTTTTTAAAGAGTACCACCCAACACTTTTGCTTTCTTCTCCATCTCTGAAGATCTGCTCAAGACGTCCAGCAATGCTCTCTGTGTATTTAAATGGAAGTATTTTTCTCTGTGAAGCCACATTTTCCAACATGAGCCTCATGAAGCCAACTAAGTGTTATTGAACTCTTATTCTCTCAATAACTCCGTGTAGCACTTTAAAGTCTGAAGGACAGCAACATGAAAAGAGCATATCAATGTGGTGAAGAAAGGGAAGGGGTTGGCTTTTTAATTTATTTTTCTTCATCTTTTATAACAAAGTATCTATATATACATATGTAAATATTTATATATAGATATATGTAGCTTTCTATATGTGTAGTAGGTTGGCTTTAATTTAATATACTTGATTCAGAAACAAAATGACAGAGTACAGAAGTGCCAAGCAGAACATGAAACACCCTTACTGTCATTTCACAGGTTTATAGGTAGAAGGTTGTACAGTTTGAGCCGGGTGTTAGGCCAGCTACTTTCTTTCCTGTGCTTTCTCCTTTGAGAGATTGACAAAGCATTTGTTAACGTCCTATGATTTACCTTAAGTACATTTTTGTAACAAAGGAGTTTGTAACTTTATTTATACCTATGAATATATTTCCAGGGACTATGTCTCATTGCTGAGCAGCTTTTATTACATCTTTGCTTGAGGAGAAAGTATAGTCAGTGCTACTGCCAAGAGCTCGTTCTTGTGTTCATATAGTGCCTGCACAAAGCTTGCGGCTGCTTCATTCTGTTGCTTCATAACTGGGAGCCATTACATTTATTAAATGTCCCTGAGTACATGTAAGTTTCAGTTGTGATTTCATACATAAAGGCCAGAAGCTATGTGAGGCAATCATAATTTATCTTTGACATTACTTAATGAAGAGTACCTGAAGTAATCACATAACTGCATATCCATTTGTTTTATTACGTGGGTAAATAACTTGTAATTAAACCTAAGTTTGAACTGCAAACTTCCCCTCTGTGTTTCAAATGACTTGCAGCTAATTTGAAACTTGGGTGATATTTAAATTGCATGTATGTATCTAAACACCCAACATATATTTGTGACTTAAATGGGAGAAATCTTACTCATGTGTATGTCACAGAAGAGAAAGTTTTTATCCAAATTTATACCTCTTAAATTTCTTTACCATAAGGCATAAAGAGTGCATGAAAATTTTCTTCCTTGATTTGCTCATATTTGTAATGGGTAACTTAATAAATTTGTGTGATATAAAAGTAGTATATCATGTTCCACCACTTGTTATTGTCCCTTCCCTTTTCTGCAAAGGTACTGTTGGCTGGAAGAAAACGTTACGGCTAGCTTTCTAGGACAGTAGTCTTTCCCTATATAGTTTTTCAGTAAAACTGGTTTTATAGTCATGAGTGGGAAAGGGCAGGTTGAGTGGAGGTGAATCTTAAATTGGGCGTACCTGCCTGCTATTGCTGTTCCTTCAACTGAGTGCTGCACATCATGGGCTCTGTCTGTGAGAGAAAAATCTCGGTGCTTGGTGTCCTTGCATGACATGGAGTTTTGCATGTAGATCGATTTAAAATGTACCTCTTGTTTACATAATTTGCATAATTTTAAAAGATAATGTTGCCAAACTTTGGAAATGTTAATGTTCAAACTGAAAATCTCCACTACATGTAACTTTCTTCCTCTGGATCAGTACGTGGTTTATAATCCCAGCCAGTGGTTTGATCTGTTCCAGTGTCAACTGCCATGTGCTCTGCTTCAAGGGGGAACTAGTCTTTTGTGAATTTTTTGTACATAAGTATTTGTTACAGATATTTTAGCAAATGCTTTCTATTTCTCTTGCTTGTGCATATCTTGGCTGGCGTTACAGAAAAATAGTGCAAACATTATTTCCTTACTGGGGAATGAGGGTTTTTTTCTTTTTTTTTTAAGTGCGTGTGGGTGGGGGGAGGGTGGTTTATGTTGAATGTTTAGTTTTTCTTCTGCATGAAACATCATGTTGTGGGATCTTTAGACAACTTCATACTGTATGAATAAAAAAAATAAAATATTTGGAACCTGAGTGTATTCACAGTGGTCTTTGGTGGGCTTCCACAGCCATTAGTCTTTTTTTTTTTTCATTCTTCTGGATTTTTTAAAAAACTGGTAAATTGATGTAATCCATAGGTAAAAACAAATCTGCGTTATCACTTCTAGGTGTACATACCCTGAAGTTAAAAAGCAGGGACTGTAACGGGTGTGCCACAGTCTTGCCACAGCAAGGGTTTGCTAAGTACTGTTCTTTAGCCTCCAGCACGGGTGTTTATTTGTATACCCACAAATATGTTCATAGCAGCAGCATTTACACTAGCCAAAAGGTAGAAGCAACCCAAATGTACCTGACAGATGGTATACATATAATAGAATATTCAGCTTTAAAAGGAAGGAAATTGATACATGCTACAACAGGGTGAACCTTGAAGACATTATATTAAACTAGAGGCCCTGCCCGATGCATGGAATTTGTGCAAGGGGCTTAGCCCTTGCAGCCCCGGCTGCCTCGGCCAGCCCTCGAAGCCCCAGCTTCATCCAGAAGGTCGTTCTGCTGTTTGGTCTAATTAGCACATTAGCTCTTTATTATATAGGATAAGCAGTTACAAAAGAACAAATATTGTGTGATCCTACTTGTATGAGTTCCCGGATTTCTCAAATTCAGAGAAAGTAGAATGGTGGTTGCCAAGGGCCAGGAGGAGGTATTGGGGAATTAGTGTTTCATGGGTACAGTTTCAGTTAGGGAAGGTAAACTTCTGGAGATGGATAATTGTAATGATTGCACAACAGTGTATACTTAAAAATGGTTGAAATGGTAAACTTTATGTGTTTACCGCAATTTAAAAGTGAAAAAGCATCTCAATCTTTCTGGATAGTTTCCAGGACTTAAATATTGTTCAAACTCATGTGTCTTGAAACATTATTCCTTAGTCTTCAAAAATTCCCACAAACTCAAAAATCTTATTGCATTACACAATGTTTAAAGTCCTTTGCCACTTCAACCCTTCACTTCCCCTGGGCATTATAAATCTATCAGCTAACCAGATCAAATGAGCAATTCCTTGTTCTCAAACCTACAGATTTACTTGGTGTATTTGACCAAATAAGTAATTAACATTTCCCCATGAGCATTTTACAAGTTGTAAGATGGCTATGTACATTGTCACTGTATACTTTCAGTAATCTAACATTAAGCATGCTGGCCCAATCTTAACATGGCTGAGATCAGGAAAGTTAGGTCCTTTTCCCAGATTCTTGAACATGAGCTTTCTTCTCTACCACCCTAACTCTAGGTAGCATGAGTATTGGAACCCAAATCTGGAATGACTAGGAGGAAACACCTAAGCCGCCTCCCTTTCCAGCCACTAAGACTACTCATGCCCATTCTCCAGCTAATAAGTAAATTGTTAGTCAGAAATTGTGCTAGATAGTAGGGTGAGAGGCAGACACTAATTACAGTATAGCATGACAAATGGCATAGAAACATAGACACCATGGCTAAGGTTTGAGGTGTTAGATTTAGTGATTTGATCCAGGTTCTTAAGATCAACTATCACTGTGACAATCAGATTTATCTCTTGATTCCTTCTTCGTTATTCCCATTACAAGAATTGAGTTTCCTCTAACATTTTGTCTCCCTTTCAAACCCCAAGTACTACTGCTCCCCTAGGGAGGTACCCAGAACCCAAGGTGCTAAATCAAAGTTCAGTGTCCCAAGTTTATGAATATAAAGAGATTTGCTACCATCTTACATACTCTTCATGCTACTGCGTCGGCAAAGGATAAAATATTATTTGGGGTGGGAAATTCTTCCAGCAATTCCTCAATGGATTCCTACTAAAATATGTAAGTATATCCAATCCCATACAATGTACAGACTAGACCAGGGGTGGGCAAACTTTTTGACTCGAGGGCCACAATGGGTTCTTAAACTGGACCGGAGGGCCGGAACAAAAGCATGGATGGAGTGTTTGTGTGAACTAATAAAAATTCAAAGTAAACATCATTACATAAAAGGGTACGGTCTTTTTTTTTTTTAGTTTTATTCATTTCAAACGGGCCGGATCCGGCCCGCGGGCCGTAGTTTGCCCACGGCTGGTCTAGACTGTAACAGTGGCACGTGTAACTGATATAAATGAAACAGCAGCTGAATACATTTTCTTACATGAACTTTAGTTATTTAGGCAGACACTAGTTAAAACAACTATTACACTTGTAGAACATACTTTCTTAGGAGTAAAAACATCACTTTACTACTTAGAAGAAATAAACCCAACTTAGACACTTATGTGGAAAATAACATGTCAACCTTGTATTGTGATAAAAATGTTTAATTTTACAAGTGGCAAAACAGGTAGATTAGCCTTTTGGTTCACACATTGTAGCCAAACTGCTGCTAATAACCTGATTCTAAAATAGTCACATCACCAGTATCGAGGGACATGATTCAGAGAGGTTTTCTGGGAATAGTTCTTTAATTACAACATAGGGAAGAAATGTTTATAAATCTATAATTTAAAAACAAATTCAAATAGAAAAATAGTATTTCCTCCAAATAAGAACTAGAAATTATGCATGTAACTTAAGAGAAATTGTAATTAATGTTTAAGTATAATAATGGTATGAAATTTTGATACTTAAATTATCCTCAAAGCTGTTGAATGAATACTATTAAATTTTTCCTTTCGGGTTTATGCTTCTGGCTAAGAACTGACAAACAGAGACTGAGGTTTAAAGTGACCGAAAATTCTTCACATGGTTTCTTGGGACCATTTGTAAGCTCTTTTTCTCTACAGTCCAAAGACAAGAAAAAGTTTCTGATTTGAAATCAGAATCGATCTGCTGCTCTGCTAGCCACAGCTCGAATATTGCCATAAACCTTTGATGGAGGATTTCCTGTAGAGGAAACAAAACAAGCTTATTTATCTGTAGAAATATACTCACATATATAGAAACTACATGGAAAATGGTCTACAAAACTCTAAAAGAACAGGAACATTTTCCATTGGATCTATCTTTAATCAACAAAAGGCCTAAAAAGGAAACCATATCCAAATATTCTCCAAAAAAACCCATTTTAAATCATAAGAGCCAACATATTTAGGAAGGAAGCTAGTCAGACCTGGGCACCAAGGGAGTATCTCCAGTGTTTTCTGAGTACATTGCTACGCTCCCTGTAACTCCTGACCGAGTTACTGACGCTGATGCCGTGGGAAATGGGACCAAGTGGATTAAGCTGATGGTGCTGATCAGCAGCAGCTCCCTTTTCGTTGAACCTAAAATACGGTGTCATTGCCTGATGCTCTGGGATGGCTTTTCTGTGCACGTCACTCATCAGGGAAAGGCAGTGAAGATTTAAGCAATATAAGCCAATAAATCCTTTCGCTTTAGCAGACAGGGAATCCAAGCAAAAAGATTCCTACTTCTCTCAGGTTCTCATTTGCCAGCCCCCAGGAGTCTCTATTTGCTATCTTTAACATTTCTCTAAACTGACTTGCAAATCTGGTTTACTCTAGATCCTCTATTCGTTGTAGAGAAAATACAAAGAAATTATTACCCAGGATGAGGTTGCAAATGGCAGTTCTTGCCATCTTGATGTTTTGGAAAGAGCCAAGGATATGAACTTTCCTGCAAGAAAAAGTGAGACAAGTTAGCAACAAAATACATTTCCTTTACTAAGTCTTGTAATCCAGAAACTGAAAAATCATAAATACAGATTTCTAAGTAAAGGCTGTGATGATGGCTGCAAACTCTGCAAATATGCTAAGAACCCACTTTGAAAGGGGGAATTTTATGGCATGTGAATTATGTCCCAATATTAAAAAAGATTAGAAAATACATAAACATAAAAACAAAACTAAGACATTAGATTTTGGATAAATAATGACCAAAATAATGTGTTAGGGCTTCATACACTTGTTCTCCTTTAATCCTCACAGGAGAATCATTAGGTAGATGCTATTTACTGTTTTACAGATAATGGAAATGTTTACAAGAAACCTGTTCAAGATTATACACTGGCAGACCTGGGATTATTGATTACCCAGAAATGCAAGAAATACTGTACTTAATTAAAACATCTTTGGATTTCTACTATATAGCTTTCTAAGATTATCTAAATCTCTTCAGTACTCACACCCAGACCATTTTAATGGGAGTTCCTTGCTGAATGACTTAAAGATCTAAAGAGAGCATTTTGCCTTTTCAACTCATCTTCCAAAATTTCAGTAAACCACCCGAAATCGGCATTGGGAACATCAAGCAGAACCCTCTCCCCGCTCCCCCCGCCCTACATAGGCTCAGGTATTTCTGAAATTGGGGTAAGAGTAAAGCTACTAACAAGAAAATCAGTTAAAGTCTATTCAGATGATCCCCAGGTTTTCTTCCCCATTCTGAGCAAACAGGCAACCACCCCTCTGTAACTCTGACGAAATTATTGGGGGGAGAGGGGAGTTTGTTGGAGAAGGTAAAAAACATGGGTACCAGACTCAGCTGAAGAAGAATCATGTTATAAACAGGCAATGTCAAGCAAACATTTGCACACTGTCTTCCATAACTGAGCTCCAAAGCCTGGCAGCAGGTAATACTGAACACTGGTCTAACAGCTGGTCCGTAACATTATGTACGGACAGGATGGTTCGGAAGAAGAGTAAACTGGATCGTGAGAAAGGCTGAGTGTGTGGAGGGGAGGGAAGGGGAGGGGTGAAAGAAAGCTAAATCCTTATCATTTATAGTAGTCAACAATGAATCGGAAAAAATTAAGAAGCTGGCCTATAAATAAGATATTTGGAAATATGGAGATAAATAATTTTTAAAAATTCGCTGAGTTGAAATTGACTCCTCTAAAGAGGAGGAAAGGGAGGTAGGCAATAGAAATTTTTGGCTTTTTAAAATATGTGTATGTCTAACTAACAAAAATAGAATTCTTTAAAGCATGAAAGATGAGAACACAGAGACAGCAAGAATATATAAAGCGTCAGTAGTTTTCCTACTAAAACAAAGTAATGGGGCAGTAGTTGGAATGGCATGGAG